TGCAGTCATTTTGACTGCTTTGGGCAATATAGGTATATACTAAGTTTCAGTCTTTCTAGTGTTAATAGGTCCAGTGGTGATAGTAGTTTTTCAGCAGGTGGAGGTACTTGGGAGATTTGAAGGTCACGGCCATTTTTTTAAATGAATCTGTATATTCTTGCTTCCGTATCATGATAGAGAATCTTAAAACGAATTCAATGACCTATGACACAAGGACATTGAAGGTCATATAAAGCAGAAAAAGGGGATAAAGGTGTACATTTGATACGATAATGGTGTGTAAAATTATCAGAAAGTGAAGACGAATACGTAAGCGAAGCGAGGTGAATTTATTACACAGGAATAGTAACGAGGAACATGGAGATGAGGTGAAGAAGGGAACTTCTCGAATTTCTGACTGGATGTTTAACGATTTAGGAATCTCCGGGTGGAAACTGTGACGGTGATCCCTAGGATGCAGCTGCAACTTTCTCGAGGCCGATAACACGATTGCCTCCGGATAGGGGTGCGAAGAAGGGGAGAGAAGGGTGACTACGAATCTAATAAGCCGCTGAAAACTCGGTATACTTGCCCGTAGAAGACGGAGGACAGAATCGTAATGAATTCCGAGATACGGGAAACAGCATTGTCGAGGGTTAAAAACTAATTAAACCGTTAATTAGTGCTTTCTGGAAAACAGAGATAAGAATGATCATCTGAAACGAGTTACTCAGTGAATTCGCCCGAAGTTCCGATGCAGAAATCCCTGCCCAAATCCAACCGGGAAACAATTAGAGTTTACAGTTTCATCTGATTATTATTCTGAGCAGACGCAGATCTTGTGACCTGTTTCCAATTTTCTTTTATTTAACGCGAGGAGTTCCAAGTTGTTTACAACTGGTTTTAAGAGTTAAACGTTATAAGAGAATAATTTATATGATGAATGTCTCGTTTCAGAGTTCTAACAATCGTTGAGGGACAGGGAAATAGCATCAACGTTTAAAATAACAATACGCGATGGCGAGATACATTTCTTCACTGAAAGTAATTATTGGCCGTCGAGTCTGCAGGAAACGATAGATTATTTCTCGATAGGGACAGAGATAGAACGAGAGGAACAGGAACAGTCCGTTGCGTGACGAGAAACTTTAAGCTTCGCAAAAATGCGTTTTTCTAAGGTACATAAACTTTTAGGATTGATTGTATAGCCAATAACGAGCGAGTCTCTCCTTGAAAAGAAGGAAATGAAATTTCCTATTTAAATCGATGGTTAACAAGAAAATGAAGTCCTGACGCGTGCATTAACAGTACTCATTAGAAAATAGGAGATCGAATTTCCAATTCAGATTACTCGCTTATCAGCGTACTCGTGGGTTCGCCCGTTCAACCCTTTATAGTACGCAAACAGCGTTCTGTTTTCTATCTTGAAACGACTCGTCCCGTCAGCAGAATCAATCTTCTATTCCTGCTCAGGTAGAGACGCATTTCTGGCAATGATCCAAACGTTCCTATTTGTTTTTTTTTTTCTCATTCATCCCTCGCTCCGGGCATGCCGTTTATCCGTCGGGAAATTTTAACCTTGGCGACTAACCGAAAACGAAAAAACAAGGCACAGCCGCTAGCTTTTCGTTTTATTTTTTGCGGTTACACGTCCCGCGATAATTGCTCCGCCGTGGCAGCCGGCCTTTCGAAATGCGCCGCTGGAGATCGGAAACGTTGCATACTTCCCTTTATCGTTACCGTTAAAAAAAACTTCCGGTATTTCACTCTCGAGCAAGTTGCAGCGTTTATTTATTTTGTGTCAAGCGTTCTTGACGAGGCAGAAAGAGTGGCCACGTAATTTTATACGGAGGTAAACGGTGAACCGTGGTGTATTCTATCAATTTGTTTAATGCTCGAGGTATGATAATTATTGTTTGATTAAAAATACGAACGGAGAAGACGATTCTCCTCCGCCGGAGGGGGCCACGTTCCACGTTCGCCTTTGGGACTTTGTTTAGACTTCATACGTTCTCTCGTGACTCAGAAAGTTTGCTCATAAAAATTTCCGCCCCGAGCTGGAGTTTTCCTGTACACGCGTGCCCCTTGATGTATTATATCGAGTCCGATATGGAGTCACTGAAAGAGAACTTTGAAATTGAAGTAGTTCTTCAAATTCGCACCCTCGGCCACGCGAGTTTCCACTTTTAATCAGGAAACGCTTGACTGATTTTATCAAATTTGTACTCTGCAAAGTAGTGTGTGAATGTATCATTAACTGAATTCAATTCAGTTATCGCGTTAGTATTGATTCAGTTTAATTAGCAGAGTGAGTATTAGACTCATTAGTATTAGAACGAACAGTAGACTAGGTTCACTCTGTCAAAAAGTGTACCGCGCTTGAAAAAACTGTTTTCTCGGAATTTTGAAAAATGCTTCAAATAAAAATTATGGGTATTGACGTCCTCTACAAGAAAGATTTTATGTATTTTTCTTCTAACTTCAATATTTAACGAGTTAAGTACGATTAATTAGCATTTTATGGGTGCTGACAAAATTCGACCATTCCACCGTCGAATCAGCGAACTTTT